GGAAAGATAGGGGGGGCAGGTGGGTTGCCTGCTCGTAAAAACAGATGGAATTGGAAAAAAATGGAAGGAATAATGAGACGGGAGAGACTACATAGCAGGTACCTTCAGTCGGGGAAACACAAAGGGGTCATTGCAGTAAATTTAATCCACCACAGAAGGGGGGAGGAGGCCAAAAGGGGAAATTTAAGAGAGCAAAAGAGCAATGGTGGACACATTTGGGTAGGTGGAAAAAAGAGTCCCCCGCAAGCAAAGTTCTGGTTATGGGGGGTTTCAACCACGGGAGATTGATGGGGAAAAACCTGGGGCCCCAATGGGGGGCCCCAAAAATGGGGAGCCAGGATGTTGGACGTGGTGTGGGGAAAACCCCCATGCACCAAAATGTTAAGGACACTACCAGAGGCGATGGGAGGAGAACCCAAGATTGGACCTTTGTGTTCACCCTGGGAGCTCAGACATTTAGGACATCAATTGAGGTCCCCTAGGACAGCGACCACGTGGTTTTTTGCTTTTTAATACATATAAGCGCAAATGGAGAGAATAAAACAGGAGTTTAATGGGAAAAGCCTGACTATAAAAGAGGGGACTACATAGGGGTTTAAAAAATTTTCCCCAGGAGGTCCGGGGGCAGAGAACTGGCAGGGGAAACCCTAAAGAAATGAGGAAAATTAACAACAAAATGCAAGGGGGCAGGGAAAGGGTTTTTTCCCAAGGGCAACTTAACAACGGGAAGACCAGAACGGCCCTGTTTACCCGACGGGGTAAGGGCAAAAACAAGTGCAATAGAGAATGGAAAAAAATACAGAAGGCAGGAAACAGAAAATAGGGAGATCAGTCGCAGAGCCAGGAAAGGTCGCACAGGTAAGGAGGGAGGCCCAGCGACGTAGAAAATGACATAGCATCGGAATCAAGATGACCCGAAAGTTGTAACCAATCAGGAGGAAAACAACAGCAAAGACCGGTGATCAGATTAAGGACAGAGGTGGGAACTACAAGAAAAGATCAGGAGGATGTGAGGGGGAACAGGGGATTTTTGGAAATTTTTTCAGTAGGACAGGGGAAAGGGGTGGGGAAGACAGCACAGAAGGGAACATCAAAAGGGGGAAAATACCAAAAAAGTGTTTGGGTGACATACGAACACTGAGGAGGAGGTGAAGAAGCCCTTTAAATGACCTTGAACCCAAAAGGGGAGGACCCGGGCAAAATTCCCCATGGGGCCCTTTGAGAAGGAGCAGAGATGCTGTGCTGCCTTAACCACAAACTTTCAAAAAACATCCCCTTTAAATGGGCAATACCTGAGAAATGGAAGAAGCTAATGTAGTCCCCATATTTAAGAAAGGAAACAGAAACGGGCACTAAACACAGACCTGTCTCTCTGAATGTATTGTGTGCAAAGCATGGAAAATTATCAGGGGGAGAGTGGTCGAAAAACCGGAAAGGAAAAAGTTATAAATGAAAACCGATGGGTTCATGGAAGTAAATCTGTACACAAACTCCCGGGGTTTTATGACAAGGTAAAGAAAAAGACACGGGGAAAGGGGTGGGTAGATTGCGTTTTCCTAGACGCAGGAAGGCCCCTTTTAAAGTTCCCCCCAAAGATTAGTGCAGAAGCTGGAGGTCGGCGCACGTAAAGGGGGGTAAATGCAAAGGATAAGGGAATCCTGACAGGGAGGCAAACGAGTCATGGGAGTGAAGAGGTATCACAGTGGGGGCCCGTTTCGAGCGGGGGGCCCCCAAAGGGGTAGTTCTAGGACCAGTGTATTTTTGATTATGTGAACGACAGTGGAAGGATTAACGAAGTGTCCCTGTTGCAGATGCGTGAAGTTGATGGAAGAATTAAATCGGGGGGGATGAGGGAGGAAATGCAAAGAGACCTGGAGAGGCTGGGCATGGGTCCCGTAATGGGTTTTCCCAATTTAAACCAGCCAAATGCAAATCATGAAGATTGGGGGGGGGGCAAAAAAGCGCGACAGAGTAAGGTAGGGGGACAAAAGACTACAGACCCCCACTAGGGGGAAAGACCCTTTGGGGGGACCATAACACCGAGCACACACCGGAGGGACACAACCCAAAAAACCGCTGCAGCATACGGGCCTGGCAAACCCGAAATAGCGTTTTCCCATACCTTAATAAGGAAACGTTCAAACACTTAACTGTGTATGAAAGGGGGCCTATGGAGTAGCAGCCCGTCTGGAACCCCCCCTGGTCAAACCGTCAAAAAGTTAGAAAAGTACAAAGGTTTTCAAAAAGGGTAGTCCCAGAGCTCAAGGGAAATGCTGTACGAGGAAAGGTTAAGGAAATCGGGACTGACGACACTGGAGGACAGAAGGGTCGGGGGAGACATGATAACGACATACAAGATACTGCGGGGAATAAACAAGGTGGACAGAGATAGGATGTTCCAGAGAGGGGACACAGGGACAAGGGATCACAACTGGAAGCTGAAGACTCAGACGAGTCACAGGGACGTTAGGAAGTATTTCTTCAGTCATAGAGTTGTCAGCAAGTGGAATAGCCTAGCAAGTGAAGTAGTGGAGGCAGGAACCATACATAGTTTTAAGAAGAGGTATGACAAAACTCAGGAAGCAGAGAGAGAGAGGACCCAGTAGCGATCAGTGAAGAGGCGGGGCCAGGAGCCGAGTCTCGACCCCTGCAACCACAATTAGGTGAGTACAATTAGGTGAGTACATACACACACACACACACACACATACACACACACTACACACACACACTACACACACACACACACTACACACACACACTACACACACACATACACACACCCTACACACACTACACACACTCACACACACACACACACACACACACACACACAACACACACACACCACACACCCACACACACACACACACCACACACACACACTACACACACACACACACACTACACCCACTACACACACACACACACACACTACACACACACACACACACACACACACTACACACACACACACACACACACACACACACCACACACACACACACACACACACACACACACACACACACCCACACACACACACACACACCACACACACACACACACACACCACACACACACCCACACTACACACACTACACACACACACACACTACACACAACACACACACTACACACACACACTACACCCACACACACTACACCCACAAAACACTACACACACACCACACACACACACACACACACACACACACACACACACACCACACACACACACACACACACACACACACCACACACTACACACACACTACACACACACTACACACACACACACACACTACACACACACACACACACACACACCTACCACACACACACACACACAACACAACACACACAACACACACACTACACTACACACACAAACACACACACACACACACACACACACACACACACAACACACACACACACACACACACACACTACACACTACACACACACACACACCGTGTAAATTTATGAAGCTTTGTGTTCACCAATCTTCGAAGCTGTCAGCGTCTCACATTTCCTCATCCTGGAAAAAACAACAACATTTACACTGATTTATCTGTTTGTTTCAAAATCAACGAAGGTACCGTATTTATTTGTCTTTATTTTGGTTATTTTTTGTTCATGCACAACACGGAAAGTGAGCTTCTCATTTAACTCCAATATTTCGCCTCGTTAAAGAAGGCACCTTGGTGCTGAAGTGCTCCTGATCATAGGAATTGGAGCTACCCATCCCTTCCTCGCATCAAACTTAAATGCCTCTCGTTCCCCAGATGTTGTATTCAATGCTTTTACGCTTTTATTTTTTTGGACTAGGATGGGGAGCACTGGGGGTATAGGAGAGGGTTGAATCTCATATATCTCACAGTTGAGGACCCCCACTTTACCCCTCCATGGCTATGCATCATAAATACTGCTAAAAAGGCCCCAAGAGTGTGTGAAATGGCATTTTTAATAGCTTCATGCCGCGCGGGCTTCCTCTGAGCTATAGCTCACACAGCCCTGCTAGGCATTACTCTCACCAGACGTGAGACGACCAAGTTGGGGTTCCTCTCTGTTGGTGGTACTGGGAGATTAAATATTTTAAGAGAGTGTGTGTGTTTTGTAAATTCAGCATTGTAATAAAAAATTAAAGCGGGGGATGCGTGACCTAACCACAGGGTAGTTTGCTAAATAGCAAGACTACTTCTGTAGCAAGTGTTACTTCTGTTGCAATTCCTGCTGTTACAAATATTGGTTCTATTGCAAGTGTTGGTGCTGACCGCAGCACAGAGAGGACAGCTGTCAGGACCACAGTGGCAGAAGACAGTGCACACAGTCTTGGTGTGTTATGCTCAGCGCAAACCTTCATCAGGGCAAAGTTTCGCTCCAGGAGACCTGATAAAGCGAAACGTTGTCTTACTCCGCTCCAAGGGCCTTAATTTTACCCAAGACTACACTGTAAATCTCCATCGTTACTTTATAAACCTAGTCCGCAAGCTCTGGCCAAAAAAGCACAGGACACCCCTGCAAAAACTACTCAGAAGTGTATACCTTGGAGAGGGTTTCGAGGGGTCAGCTCCCCCCGCGATATTAAAAGTACAATTACATTCAAAACAAATCGAAATTTTACATGTCTCAAAAATCCGGTATATTGTTATATTCACGAGGAAGCGCTAAACCCACGTGGATCATTCAGCTCCTAGGCAATGGGAGGTAATCAAGCGTGATGTTAGGGAATTGAAGACAATCAGGGTCGATCAGAGAAAGGAAAGGATAACTCCAGTTCCTTAGATCAGAAACCAGTTTGGTTTGAACGGAGGATCGAGCCTCCAGTCTTTGTGCTGGATGATTACACACAAGTATACCATGTGAATATAATAAACACTGAGACGCGTTGAACCTGCAACATGCCAGGACCACGGTTCAGGTCGCCGTCTATTCTTCTGTTTATTCGCTGACAGTGTCCATTACAACTGGCTTACTGAGACACGTGTTCATAGTTGCAGCTGGCGGCGCTGGGGTCGCTGAAGGGGGAGGTTCTGGAGCTCTCCTCCAGGCTCAAGCTTCTCTCTCAGGAGCGAGACATGTTGGAGAAGACCCTCACTGTCACCCAGGTAAGTCCTTCCCTCCCTCACACTGCTACTGCTGCTCAATCTCCCTCGTACTAGTACATCTCCCTCGTACTAGTACAGGTCCTGTGCCAGTACTCATCTCCTCGTACTAGTACATTCCTATGCCAGTACATCATCTCCCTCGTACTAATACATCATCTCCCTCGTACTAATACATCATCTCCCTCGTGCTAGTACATCTCCCTCGTGCTAGTACATCTCCCTAGTGCCAGTACATCATCTCCCTCGTACTAATACATCATCTCCCTCGTACTAATACATCATCTCCCTCGTGCTAGAACATCTCCCTCGTACATCTCCCTTGTTCTGATACATCTCCCTCGTGCTAGTACATCATCTCCCTCATACTAGTACATGTCCCTCATACTAGTACATCATCCCCCTCGTACTAGTACATCATCTCCCTCGTGCTAGTACATCATCCCCCTCGTACTAGTACATCATCCGCCTCGTACTAGTACATCATCCGCCTCGTGCTAGTACATCATCCCCCTCGTGCTAGTACATCATCTCCCTCGTGCTAGTACATCATCCCCCTCGTACTAGTACATCATCCCCCTCGTACTAGTACATCATCTCCCTCATGCTAGTACATCATCCCCCTCGTACTAGTACATCATCCGCCTCGTGCTAGTACATCATCTCCCTCATGCTAGTACATCTCCCTTATATCTCTACCTTCATTATACACACAAAAAATAGTCTCCATAAATATAACAATACTAGAAATAACTTTCGCCCTGCCTTTTCCGTTGAATTATCTATGCATATAAAAATAATAATAATGATAATAATAATAGCAAGTGGTCACGTTCTCTCACCTTTGCACATACACCCACCACAGTTGGAAAAGGTGAGGGTGGAACGTGAGAGTGAAGATCGTTTGGACTCACAAGCACAGCGCTACGAGGAGAGACTCACTGAACTGCACTCCGTCATTGCTGAACTCTCCCGCAAGATCGACCAGCAGCGCATCAGTGTGATAGCAGAGGAGGAGGTGGTAGTGGAGGAGTACTCGCATTCTGAACTCTCTCACGACCAACATGATGCCACGGGTAAGTAGAGAGGGAGAGAGAGAGAAAGAAAGAGGGACAGGAAGAGAGAGTGAAAGAGGGAGAGGGAGAGCAAAAGAGAGGGAGAGAAAGAAAGAGGGGAGACAAAACATGGTAAAGGCAGCCAGTAGAAGTTTTTTCTGTCCACAACAAGGTTATCTGCAAAGAAGGACTGTTGGACTATTTAGTACTACCTCGATGGTAGAGGCAAGAATAGTGAAGCAGAAGGCTCTCAGCCTACCCTCCAGCTACTGCCGGTATGAAATGTAAGGAGGGGGGGGGGCAGAAGTATAATAACACATTAGAAAAGCGACCATGGACATTTTATGGAAAATGTAAAAGTGGGTGGAATGCATGGCTACTATGTCAACTTCAAAATACCATGCTCCAGGTGGACCATAGCCAACAGGATATTTTTCATTGTTCTGGAACTTCCGGCAGGATGGTAGCAGTCACTGCTTAGAATGGACTGTGACTAGCAGAATCCAACAGAGTATTTACAAAAGTGTTTGTCTTGCTGATTCTTGAATGACTGCAATGGTTTGGCACTAACAACTGGGTGAAAACCTTCCGGTGTGCTATCCCTCTGTGAAAGAAATCTTCACTCACATATAATGTTGTAAATAACTGTTGAAATTCTTAAAAGCTAATTGTGCAAATGTTGAAGAGATTTTTTCAGTTGATATGTGCTTCCAGTGCATTATATACATATTGTATAATATGATGAAATGTATAATTTACTCATTTTAACATTGTCCTTGTTATTTGCACTGAGCACAACTGCCGTTATAAAAGTAAAATTGATGAACCATCGAATTCCTGGTAACAAATTTGGCATAGATCAGTGCAGAAACACAATATATATACTGTATATATAAATTTACCAAAGATACAGCTAATTTATATATTGCAAATAGAATTCAATAGAAAATATACACAAAGTTCTACTATAGTTTTTTTGTATAACCCTACTCTCAGGAAAATATGTCTAGATAGTCATACCAGCTATTGCTAGAGGTCTTATAAATTAATGCATAACCATTTACAAAGGTATTTTCTGTTGCAGAAGATTCAACGAGTGAGGCAGTGGAATCAGAGGAGCAAATGGAGGAGCCTAGGGATCATACTGCCACTGATGCCTCCACCTCTTGTGATATAGATGACAGGGCAGTTGAGGTATGAGCTCATCTCCATGATTCAGAGGGTTTGCATTCAGCAAATGTAGACAAATTAATGGAAATGTTGTTATAGCAGAAAAGACACTCTTTTGAAAGATTTCATGAAAATATTGTCCATGGAAATATTGTTGCTACAACAGTTAGCTCTTGTAGCACCTGGGCTTCTTTGGCAGAGGACACCCAAATTGTGTCATGAGTTTGAACATTCATAATAAATGAATGTAACAATTTAAAGGGAACAGTCAGGAGCGTTGGGTACATAACTGCCATGAATTTGATTCTCCGCATTAATTGTAACTTTTATTAGGAATTTTCAGCACATTGGCAAGCATCTAGAGGAAATAAGTGCTAGATCTATTGTCACTGCCTGCTGGTAAGGTCAATGATCTCCATAAAACCCTAAAAACAAGTTCCATTTTTTGTGGTTTTTCACTAACTTCTAGGCAATAGAATTTCTTAATGGGAAAAATCACCTATGACCCCTCTGTAGTGTAGTCAGTGGAGTATTGGGCTGACAGCTACATTGCCAAAGATTATAATTTCATCAGTCAGTTTGATTTCTATATAAACAAAATGAACAAGAGTTGCCATATATATTTGACAGATCGGGAAACTAGGAGGAAGCAATCAGTGGTGAACAATAGAAAGCAGGCAACTACTAGAGAAACCAGAAGGCATAAATGTGGCGGGAAGACCTTAAACTATCAAAACAAAAATAAATCTGCAAGGTTGTTAATTCTTAATGGGTCATTAGAATATGACCACAGAAGTACAAATACGTACATGAGTTATGATGAAGTGCACAACAAGTAGGCAGAAAGAGAAGGGAAAAAGAACTGAATTACACCCTCTACTGGTCATTCTCATGCACCTTTGATATCCGTACATTTCATTCTCATACACCTTCCACATCAATACAATTCCCACACCTATCAACTCTCTCATACACCAATACAATTCTTACACCCATGCAACTCGCTCCCACACCCCTACAACCCACTCCTACTTTCCAATATCTTACTCTCAAACCTGCAACTAACCCCAACATCCTTTCATCTCCAACAATCCTAAAACTCATTCTTCCCTCCAACTTTAACCCTCATACTCTGGCTTCCTTGTGTCTTAAAACCTTCCAACTCACTTCTCCATGTCTAATGCCCCCCTGCAACTCACTCCCACATCCCTCCCATTCACTTCCACAACCATCCAGATCCCACCCACACCTCTCCAACTAATACATCCTTCTGTTTCACTCATACATTCCTCTTAACTTGCTCCTACATAATTCTAACTCACTCTCACAATCCTCCAGCTCACACTTTCACACATTTCCAGCTCACTTTCACATCCCTCATCTCATTTCCACACTTCCTCAACTTACTTTTGCACTCCCAATATAATTTCTAATACTCATAAGACTACCACACATTTCCAACAGTCACCCACACTCCTTAACACACATCCTTCACTGCAGAAAATTGAATTAAACCCATGAGAGTCATACAATACCTGGGGAATGAGAGGCAATCAGTTTCAATCTAATGAAGGGAAGAATTCCTCCAATTTCTTAAAGTGACTTTAATATGAAGATATTCTTTATGAAGATATCATTTTCTGATATAGCATTTATTGCCTCATATAATTTAATCCTTATTTTAGTTACATTTCTTGAAAATTATTATATTCTTTGTATATTCATAAACTGTGACAAAAAGAGTAATGTGCCTCTTAAATAATGAAAATTGTAGATGACAATAAAATTGTATTTAGATACAGTACTTACTGTAGGCATGAAGGTGCTAAACCATTGTGAATCATTCAGCATATGATGTAGTGGAGGCAATATCCTCCATAAGCTAACTGCATGCACAACATACTATCTATTTTTTTTTTTTCAACAAGTCGGCCGTCTCCCACCGAGGCAGGGTGACCCAAAAAAAAAAGAAAGAAAATCCCCAAAAAGAAAATACTTTCATCATCATTCAACACTTTCACCACACTCGTACATTATCACTGTTTTTGCAGAGGTGCTCAGAATACAACAGTTTAGAAGCATACACATATAAAGATACACAACATATCCCTCCAAACTGCCAATATCCCAAACCCCTCCTTTAAAATGCAGGCATTGTACTTCCCATTTCCAGGACTCAAGTCCGACTATATGAAAATAACCAGTTTCCCTGAATCCCTTCACTAAATATTACCCTGCTCACACTCCAACAGATCGTCAGGTCCCAAGTACCATTCGTCTCCATTCACTCCTATCTAACACGCTCACGCATGCAGGGCCTGGGGAATGCGAGCTATACTTGGGTTTGATCCAAGGAAGGAAGGGGTAGCTTAATTCCTTGATCATGAGCCTTTCACCAGCTACTTAGCTGTACTCAAGTATTTTTCTAACAGGCTGGAGAAGGAATTGCTGACCTGGATGTCAGTGAATGTCCTCGAGGCAGTGGAGATACCAGCAGTTGTCGAGCATCTGGGGATGATGCCTGCAGGTCCCTCAGTGCGCTAGAGGAGGAGGTGAAGGTACTCAGAGAAGAAAATAACAGTCTACAACATGCTCTGGCCCTTGCCCAGCACCACACGTCCACTCATCGCACCACCATCACAGCTCTTACTCAGGAGAGGGATGCTCTTTGTAAGAAGGTATGTGAAAAAGTTCTATGATAGTCAAGCTGGAAATTAAAAGCTAACATTAGTCTGCAATAGGTATATATGTGTTATTACCTGTTAATTATTATGTAACAGTTTTTGAAGCTACTGGAGTTAAGCTAGTATATTCAGAAAACTTGATAATGTTTATCTCCAAATAAATGAGACTCATGTGAATATTTAATATCAAGACACTCCAGAAATGGAAAAAAAGGTTGGCTTAAGCTAAAACCCATTCATTTCTTTTTACCAAATTTTTACACTGATGAAGAATCCATTTTTGGAAGGTGTTTTGATTGACATTACACTAACTGTTTGTTACAAAAAATCTTGCAGCTACGTGAGTATCAAAGAATGCAACCTGCAATGCCCCCACAAGCACTTCAGGTAGCCGATGCAGTGACAGTGCGAGGACTGAGAGGCACCCCCCTTGTTGCCTTCACGGTAACCTCTGGGGGTTCAGGGCTAAGTGGATCAGGACCAGGCACAGTATCTCCTTCACCTTCACCACAACCACCAGAGAGTCACACGCCCACGCACGATGACACACCCATTATCTGTAAACTTGCTGAGCGAGTCAGATTAAAGAAGGTGAATACGTACTAACTGAAGAAAAGGAAAAATAGGAAGAAGAGGGTATGGAGAGGAATATGAGGAATAGGGAGAAAAGTTGGATGAAGAGATTAATAATACAAAAGGCAAAGGATAAGGAATATGGATAGAAGTAGGATATAATTGGGAGAGGACTAGTCAGAATAGGGAAAGAAAAATTAAAAGAAGAGAACAGAGAAAGGATGAGGAATATGGAGAGGATGAAGAATACCATAGGGACAGAAGATAGAATTCCCCTAGGAAAAATACCACAGGGAGAGGAGGCTGGAAAATAGGATGAAGAGAGGAAAAGGAACAAGGGGAAAGAGATGAGGCATAATATATTTAAGTATTCTGACAACTTAAAGTAGTGTCAGAAGCATATGTCAAAAGACTTTCTCAACATGCTAGTTTGGCTAAGCTAAGAAAGCAACAGATGCCACTAATGTGCATAAGGATCAGAGAATACATATGTGGAATGACTGCCATCAGCATGAGTATGTAGGTAAGAGGTAGGTGAAAAGAAACATGAAAAGACAGAGAAAACTTTAGTAAATGTAAAAATGAAGGGGAAAACAGTGTACACTATACTGTATTAAAAAGTGGCACATAGTGAACATAGTCATTGAATGAATCATCAAATAATAATCATAATGATAAAAAATTATGTAATAATAATCAATTTAAGTGCTACAAACCATCAAAGATGGACAGGACAGTGCGGTTCTTGTACCTTGATAATGCTTTCATGAGTGCCAAGGCATATGTATTTATTACTTATGCTTTAAGATATTTATAATAAGCTTATAAAATTTTGTGTATACATGTTGTATCTTGAACTGTAGTATCTGCATGCCTCTGGCAAGACAGTGATGGAGTGAGTGATGCTGAAAGTGTTTCTTCTTTTTTGGGTCGCCCTGCCTCAGTGGGAAACGACCGATGTGTAAAAAAAAAAAAAGAAGTTGTATTAATTTATTGTTATATTTCACTGATATGAAAGGAATGGCAAAATTAAAATATTTTTGCTTTCAGGCTGAGAGTGGTGATCAAAGAATAACGGGGACAGACCTGAGTAGTGTGGGTGTGTGGACAACTGCCGTTGCTGAACAACTGGTTGCAGGTGTTCAGGAAGAAAGCGATGCCCAGGAGCTATATCATGCCCTTGCCACTGCTGGCGGAGCTCTTGCACCTCATGAGAGGTTAAAAGAATTTGAAGTGGAGATAGAAAGACTTCATACAAAAGTGGACCATTTGAAAGCACAGAATGATGTTTTAGCTATTACTCTCAGTGAATCTAAATCACACTGTGATCATTTAAGTATCCTGATGGGTAAATATGAATCTAACTCTATAGCTTTACAGCTGGCAGTGACGAACTTAGACCAGACTATCGAGGCTTATGAAGTCTTGGTGGCACTATTAGAAAGTGAAATTGGTTTATTATTAGCAAGCTGCAAGGCTGCAGGTGTTGGAGTGAAGCGGACGAGTGGTGGAGTGGGAAGTGGAAGTGGTGGCTGGAGCTATGCTGATCAGGATGATCTTGTGGCTTTAGTGAAAAGAGCACAGGAGCAGCGAAGATCAACAGAAAATGTTGCTCGTCACCTACTGTCTCGTTTGGAGAGGGCTGAAGCTCAGCATTCTGATGCAGAGAGCTGGAATGAAGCTGGCATTAGCCATAATACTAGGTATGTCAACAGATCTTTCTAAGCAGTGTATTTTTATTTTTTTGTGACGACTCAGAACTATGGGAAAAAATGCATATTTTGACTTTGTTTACTGTATTTATGCTTCCTCAGTTTTCTTGGTGTGATAGTTCTGTTTTCTATTTACTCATCAGGACATCTTGTCTTTATATATTTTAACATTTTATTTAATTCTGTAAATACATTAAAGGCCTTTCAAATGTGCATAATAATTCTTAACAGAACAGTCCAACTCCATGACTGATAATTCCGTAATTTTAGCTTGGCCACCAAAAAAATATTTTGAATATCCACACTGTGCTCTGACATCTCAGTGATCCAGAGGAAAAGCTTTGGTCTGGTAGATGCTGCCATCTGTTGCCCAGAGATAAAAAAGTCAATGTCTGTTTTCATAAGCTGGTAGCTCATCCATGAATATGTTTATCTCTTTAATAAATTAAAATACTGTACCCTATTATGCAGTGTTATCTGTATTGATAAATGGTGTGTAAAGGGCTCTACCCTTGTAACAAAATAGGGTCTTCATGTTCAAAATGGCCTGATCTTCTTGGTGCAAATCTTTACTGGTAAATTCCATGTCTTGCTGATGGAAGGAAGCTTCTGGCTAATTGTTGCCATAAGATAATGCTGTTAATCGTGTCTCGGCAAACAGAACTAATGATGACAAGGAGTTCTCAACAATTGTACATAACTGTATAACCATGTTAAGTTTGATCCTCCTAGCTAGTGATGAGGCTGTGTCCATTTAGTCACCCGTCCAGCTGCTGGCCAGACCTAATAGTGCTTAACTTGGCTGAATGAACAATATTTACATTCTTCATGGTGCCTCAAAATTATTACAGGATACCCAAATATATTTAATACTTTAATACTTTTCATGCATTATTATTATAGTATGTGAATTACTATAATACATGCATACTTTCAGTGCTACTTCATCAACATCCAGTGGTGTTGACTCTGACGTGAGTCGTGGAGAGGAACAACGACTCCGTGAGACCATTAACCGACTAAAGGAGGAAAGAGGGCATGTTTCATCCTCTCTGCTTCCTCTTGAGTCACTTCATGTGGACCCTCTCACCAGGCACTACCCACTCAGCCTTAATGATGCACACAAACTTGACCTTGAAAATGCAGTGTTAATGCAGGAGCTTACAGCAATGAGAGAAGATCGTGCAGAGCTTAGAGCTCAGGTGATATTAAAAGTTTTTAGTAACAATGAACTATAGTTATATAGTACAGATTATTAATATAACTAAGCACTAAACCCACAAGCGTCATACAGTGCTGCTATAGCGTCATACAGCGCTGCTATGTAGTATGGAATAAGGAGTTATTCTTTGAACCACATTCTTGAACATTTAAATAATTCAGGACTGAAACTTAATGAGTACAATATGTTACTAGTACTGTAGTATGAAAAATGCACTTCTGCATCACAGCCTGATGACTTACTGGGAACACAACCATCATTCTTTTATACTTCCGCTTGCCTCTCTTGGACCCAAGTATGACCTATCTCAAATTTTTGCTCAGTTTGCCTCCATTTTTTCTAGTCATGTTCCACTGTCTATGACCAAAACCTTCCAGTGGTAGCTAGGTAGCTGAAAAACCAGTTGGCAACCAGTACAAAATAGTTAATGGTGGCAATTTCAGTTGATCATCAGGCCCTGATGCAGCATAGAATTTTTATCCTTTAAAACCATTTATTCTTATTCCCCCTTCCCATGCACTGCATGACCCCTATGGGTTTAGCACTTCCTAATAAATATATGTAAATATGGAATGTGAGCAGGGTAATATTTAGTGAAAGGATTCAGGGAAACCAGTTATTTTTATATAGCTGGACTCGAGTCCTGGAAATGGGAAATACAATGCCTGCACTTTAAAGGAGGGGTTTGGGATATTGGCAGTTTGGAGGGATATGTTGTGTATCTTTATACGTACATATATGCTTCTAAACTGTTGTATTCTGAGCACCTCTGCGAAAACAGTGATTATGTGTGAGTGAGGTGAAAGCGTTGAATGATGATGAAAGTATTTCCTTTTTGAGGATTTTTTTCTTTTTTGGGTCACCCTGCCTCAGTGGGAGATGGCCGACTTTAAAAAAAAAAAAAAAAATATCTTGAGACTGATGATCCATCAACTAGGAACTTGACCACTAGTATCCCAGTCACAGTTAAGGCAGCCATAGATTTTGGTGTCATTTAGTTTTTAACTAGAACCAAATTTTTACTTACTGTTTCTGCTTTCAATTTTTTGCTAGGTATATCTAATGGAAAGAGAGAAAGCTGGTTTAGAACTTCGAGTAGGGACATGCGAGGCCCAGGCAGCAGCCTACTGTGCCACCATTGACCACCTTAAATCGGAATTGGCGCAGGCACGCCCAGGAGGCAACCAGGTAAATATTTTAATTACATGAAACAATATTACATTCAATACTGTATTTTACTAGATCATGATTTCTTAACATGACTGTTACCTTTTAAATTTGATTTATAAAATAAAATAACACTATGTTACCAATCTCATTTTGTACCACTTCAATAAATTGTGAATTAAGTCATTCTTTTAGTAATTATGGTAGAATTACTAACAGAATGTTAGGTAAATATACACAGATGCAACTGATGAAACATTTTATTGTGGTATTGTTTCACTTTCCAGAAGCTTTGTCAAGTGTAACAGCTTGACAAAGTTCCTGGAGAGCGAAACGTTGCCACAATAAAATGTCACATCAGTTGCATCTGCATTCATTTACCTAACATTCTTCATTTAATTCACTGTAATTTCAGGATGGAGAAGGTGATGGTGACAGTGGTGTAGACTCATCGTCCCCAGAGATCATAGAAGCCCTGAGACGGGAAAGACAACTAAAGGCTCGGGTGCAAGACCTTGTCACTACCCTTGAGAAGGTGACCAAGAACTCTGAAGCAAGACACATGCAATCACAAGAGTTTATCAATGATCTAAAGAAAGCAAATGGGTGAGGCTTGTGGTCTGATATCATATTTAAAATGTAATTAATTAAAACATGACTGTTTCCTGATATATTAATACCACAACTTTGTGAAGCTAAATTTATTAAGCAGTAATCTCTAAACATTTGTGGTAACCACTCTGCTAATATTTTTTTTTTTCTATGGATCGCCTGCAGATAGTACCAATAAGTTGTATTTCTTGTTATAGTGCTTATTTTCTTTTAACTTAATGCTTGTATCCTAAATTGAAAATCAAACAAAAGAATTTTATTAAAATTGTGCTCACCAGAATTACCAAGTCCAAAATAACTTCTTTCTGAGCAAACTAATTTATAAATATGCATATTAATGAGCTTAGACTGTGTGTAATCTCTATAAAGCTGCAGCCTCCAGATTTAGGATTTAAACCCTTTCAGGGTTGGTGCCATACTAGTACGCATAAATTCTAGCGCCTTCAAATCTAGCATGAGAAAGCTGGTAGGCCTACATATGAAAGAATGGGCCTGTGTGGTCAGTGTGCACAGTATAAAAAAAAAATCCTGCAACACACAGTGCATAATGAGAAAAAAAAAAAACTCCGACCGTGTTTTTGGTTTAAAACAGCGACTTTGCAGTGTATTTTCGTATGCTATTTATGGTTGTATTCTAGTTTTCCTGGTCTCATTTTATAGAATGGAAGACATGTATTATGGAAATTGAGATGATTTTGATTGGTTTCACAATGAAAAGTACCTTGAAATTGAGCTCAAAGTAGCAGAAATGTTTGATTTTTGCCAAAGTTCAAAGGTAAACAAGTCATGCCACATGTCCAATACACGACAACTGGTGAGTCTAATATTCTTTCACAAGTGCACTGATATTATTTATACCATTTCTACACCATTTCTACACGAATGCAGTAGTCTGCATAACATAAATCTTCTATTTTTTGTGAGAATAAAAATTCAAAGAGGAAAGCAAAAGAAATGTAACAGAGGCCTGGGGACGTGAGTAATGAACAGAGGAAATGTTATTTTAGTGCCTGGAATGTCTGTCTTGTTTATTCTGGACCCTATTTGGAAATTGGCTTTTGAAATTTGTGTGAAATTGGCAAAATTGCCAATTTCTGACCATGTTATTGGTTGGTTGACATCGGTAAATGGGTGGTTTCTTGTACTCATTCGATAGACAAAATGGAGTTCGTGAAATAGGTATGATTTTTGTCGACCGGTACATTGGAACTGCCCAATAATAGGGCTTGAAGTGGGCGAAATAGCCGATGCGTAAACATCGTCGAGACCACTAACTTCGAGAGAGCATAATTCCGTAAGTTTTCCATCAAATTTTATACTTTTGGTGTCATTATGATTGGGAAAAGATTCTCTATCATTTCATAAGAAAAAATAATTATTTTTTTACTTTCGAAAAATTTCTGACCCTGAGAACAAGTTTAGGAGAGGGCCTGCCGACCCTGGAAGGTTAATGACTGGCTTGCATCAATTTCTTCAACTCACATCATATAGACATGTGATTAGACTTATATTTAAAAAAATACAATTCTTTTTCTTTTATAGGCTGGCTTTACATGATAAAACTTTGATTCAGTTACTTTTCTGTCAATTTATCAATGCATTAATTTTTCATAGCCAGTACACTCCCATAAATTTTTTTTTTTTTTTTTTTTTTTTTTTATTAACACATCGGCCGATTCTCACTAAGGCAGGGTGACCCGAAAAAGAAAAACTTTCATCATCATTCACTCTATCACTGTCTTGCCAGAGGGGTGCTTTACACTACCGTTTATAAAACTGCAACATTAGCACCCCTCCTTCAGAGTGCACTGTACTTCCCATCTCCAGGACTCAAGTCTGGCCTGCCAGTTTCCCTGAATCCCTTCATAAATGTTACTTTGCTCACACTTCAGCAGCACGTCAAGTATTAAAAACCATTTGTCTCCATTCACTCCTATCAAATACGCTCACGCATGCTTGCTGGAAGTCCAAGCCCCTCGCACACAAAACCTCCTTTACCCCATCCTTCTAACCTTTCCTAGGCCAACCCCTACCTCGCCTTCCCTCCACTACAGATTTATACACTCTCAAAGTCATTCTGTTTCACTCCATTCTCTCTACATGTCAACAACCCTTCCTCAGTCCTCTGGACAACAGTTTTAGAAATCTTGCACCTCCTTCTAACTTCCAAACTATGAATTCTCTGCATTATATTCACACCATACATTGCACTCAGACATGACATCTCCACTGCCTCCAGCCTTCTCCTCGCTGCAACATTCATCACCCATGCTTCACACTCATATAAGACCGTTGGTAAAACTATACTCTCATATGTTCCCCTCTTTGCTTCTAAGGACAAAGTTCTTTGTCTCCACAGACTCCTAAGTGCATCGCTCACCCTTTTTCCCTCATCAATTCTATGATTCACCTCATCTTTCATAGACCCATCTGCTGACACGTCCACTCCCAAATATCTGAATACATTCACCTCCTCCATACTCTCTCCCTCCTATCTGGTATCCAAACTTTCATCACCTAATTCTTCTTTTTACAACACCCACCACCATCTCTGCAACACCCACCACCATCTCTACACCACCCACCACCATCTCTACACCACCCACCACCTTCACTACTCCACCTACCACCATCACTACTCCACCCACCACCATCACTTCTCCACCCACCACCATCACTACACCACCCACCACTATCAGTACTCCACCCACCTTAATGTTTCTGGAAAAAATCCGAGTGTCGAAATGGAGGTTACCTTTCCCCGGATTGATATGAGAACCAAACACGGGACGAGGTGCCTCACTACAATCTGGGATAAGTGTGGGAGTATTATCCTTCCAGTTATGTCTTAGAAGAGCATGTGGGATGGGACAAAGCACCTGACAGTTCTGTGGGTACAGAGTTGGATTTCACTTCAGATACACCGCCAACTAGTGGCGGCATATCTGAAGCTCACTTGTAACTCGGATTTTGGCTGCAACTCAAAGCAAAAAAATCGACCAAGCAATGGCTTGTAACTCAGAAAACTTGTAAGTTTGGGCACCTGTAAGTGAAGGTACTACTGTAGTAGTGTGTTCTCAGATACATTATATTTTATATCACATTAAAATTATGCTAACATACAGTGAGAAACTTGATGACACACTGAGTGAAAATATTTTTGGTCACAATAATCAGTTTAATGTCTTTTCACAGAGCACTTTTGACCGCTGTGGATCGCCTTAAAAAGAAGTATGCTCTCAAGGTGAAGAGGATGGAGCAGCAGATGATGGGCATGGTGGACAGGCATGCTCACCAGGTGGGTATAGTGCTCGTATTGACATACTTTAATATGTCTCATGTGGTACAAGCCTTCATAGCCCTTAAAATCAACAACAGCAATCATCTAGGGAGGTACTGTGCTACCATCCTGTCATTTGCATTTGAAATAAAAGTCTGTTCCTCAGACCAAGAGCCCTTCACCAGTTACAAAGCGCCTTCTTGAAGGGACTGCATGACTGAACTTGGGACTGTGAGCCAGATTGCCCAATGTATTGCAGTACTATTCTTGCTCATGAGGAAGTCTCTTATGGTTTTCATTGACAATATATGTTAGCTGGAGGTAAAGTTTTACAGATTCATAATTGTCACAAGCAGTACAATAATTCTGTAGTCAACCATCATTTTGATGGTGGACTGATGATTACAGATATATTTTTTATGCTATACTGTTAATTTGAGTGTCACATGTGGAAGGCTGGTTGTGTTGGATCTGTTGGTCTGCAGACTATTAGCAGAAAGTCTCGTTGACTAGTTAGTCAACAGGAAGTCTTGCCTCAGGCGAAGCTGTGAGTGTTGAAGAACCCTGGAGAGTAATGACAGGTATGTCACAGGGCACTTATATAGCTGTTATGCAAAACTTCCAACAAAAAATACAATAGTTCACCTGTAGATTAATCACCACAAGAGGACTAGCGCCCACTAGTGAGCCTACTGCATTTTGGTGTTGTATTTTCTTTTAAAAGATAATTTTATACAACTAGTAATCATCTTTTGTCTTCAGGTTCGTGTTCTGAAACAGAAAATATCAACACTGGAGGACGACACAGGCTTCAGGCAAACACAAATGATCTCAACTGCCAGTGAGACATCACTCTGAGGACATACATGGGTTATATACTGTACTTCATAATTTATAGTATATTTGTTACTTATCGATATGTACTGTTAATGTATGAAAGAGTTTGACTATGCAATAACTTTCCACTCAGTCACATGTGTCTTAAACATTGAGTGGTTTTTATGATAATGCAACCATCTCCCATCATTCCAGGATTATTTGGACTGAATGTACGAAAGTTACTTATTGATGTAAATAACAGCCATATATGGAATATATAATTTAAAGCAGAAAAATACTTTTGATGCTTTAGATAAAATGCAAAAAATCAGCTATAAACATGTCAGAAAATGAAAAAGACACATAATTATGATGTAGAAATTTAAGTAAAATGAGTAAGAAACCTCAAAAAATTAAAGAATAAAGATTGTGTATTATGTAATTTTGTCAGTAGAATCAAGTTTAAAAAAAAAAAGTAAACCCAAAAACTTATGTTCTTCTATAGTCTGATGAAAATTTGAAAAATATCAAAACTAAAAATCAAAAATCAGTAATGGCCTTATATATTTTTGTCTACATTTCCATCAAGAATGGTCAACACTGTTTCTGACTTTAGTTTTGGAAAACTTTTCTGCCCATACTGAATAATGTACAGCAAGATCATTGGAATGTTGGCAAGTACCTCAGGAAACCTTATCAGGGACAACAAATCGTAAAAAAAAAAAAAAAAGACAACTGTATTAGAAAAAAGTGAGGAGAAAATTAGGTTTGTTTCATGAAATCAGAAGCTACTAAGAATTTATAACTGAAAAATTTGAAAAGGCAGACTATGAGCAGTTTAGCTTGTGCAGGTCATTATATCATGCTAAATAAGCTGATGGAAATCCAAACTGTGAAGACACAGACACATTGCAGTACAAGCTTATGGCTGAAAGACAGTATGTAGAGCAAACCATTATAATGAATGATGTTTTGCCATGGGTAGGGCTTATTAAATCAATAAGTGCCACTCAGAGTTAGATGCATCTAGCATACAGAGTAGCTCTGTAACAAGCTTTTTACCATACTTGCTGGCAGTGCTTACCATCCAGCAGAAGCTTTTATTGGCAATGTTACATGCTTTATCATGTTGATAAAGCTCTACATAGAGCAAAATGTTGTTCCTTTGAAAGCTTCTTCTACAATTTGTGTCTTTGTTTTCAAACATATTGGCAATGTGCCATTCATCCATCAGTCAAGTGGTAAGTGAGGATAGAGAATAAATATTAAGAAACACATTGTGTTCTGTCACAGTAATAGTGCACAGTTTTTGCAGTCTTCTCTATTCCCTAAGCAGCTTATATGCTGAAAATCTTTAATGTGCTTCTAGGTGAAGTCGTGATGTTATTCTGATATTTAATATAGCTTTTATTTAGTCGAGGTATAGACGGTTGTGAAACAAATTAACAAAGATGCGTTGGTTATTGTCTGTGTCTCAGCATGAGAAAGGTACACTGTATGTTACCATTGGAGTTTCTTTTTATATGTCAATATTGTCGCTTTTCATCGTTCAGTGGAAAGATAGAAAAAAAGTCTTAATCATGTCTGGTACATAATTGTATAAAATTCAATGGAAAAATTCTCCATGTAGCTGATTTTTAAAGAATAAGTATTCATGTGTAAATGGTATATTAAGTGAATGAGTGCCAAATTATAATACATAATGTAGTCCAAAGGCATTATTAGTGAAGCTAAACAGAACATGAAGTACAAAGTTCCTGCAATCCATAATAGAAACCAAAAATTATAGTTGGAATTAAGATAGAGGTGTATGTTTTGAATCACTGTGCAATGATGTATCAATTTTCATACTTTCATCTGTGGTTATCAATAATTGTGAATTTATATTTCTGTTCGTAGCTGTAATGAGACTTCAAATGTGACCTGTGTGAAAAATTCTGATGTGATTCTTTGGAAATTAAGCCTGTGGCCTCTCATTTCAGTGCAAAATTATTGAACTTTATCTTTGGGTTGGTAAAATCAAAATAAATTTACAAAAAATGGGTTAGGAAATTCAGCCTAGACATTAAAAAATAACCTGTGCTGTATATCTAACATTTTTAAAACATATATGGCAATATATGGCCCTGCAAGCTTTGACTTGTCCATTCACCATCATTTAATGTGCTGTGAGCATCTCTGGTACTCAGCAGTCCTTCTCTTATTTTTACCTTCATACATTCATATTCTTTATTCTAATCTGTATTGTGCCTTCTTAAATAACGACTTCACCATAGACAGAATAATCCGCTAGTCTCATTATTTGAATGAGTATAAAGGCATAATAACATGCTTTTAATGAGATTACATTTTACTTAGAGTTGAGCCAGATCAAGTCATACAGAAGATATTTTTAACACATGTGAAAGTGTTGAATGATGATGAAAGTTTTTTTTCTTTCTTTTTGGGTCACCCTGCCTCGTTGGGAAATGGCTGACATGTTAAAAAAAAAAAGTTAGTGAAGCAAGAAAAATAAAGAAATTATGTCAAATAAAGAATTATATGTCAGGTGCTGATGATTAAAGGTTTTATTTCTTTGCAAAGGTTACAATGTGTAATTACAAGTTTGATTTGTTAATTACAAAGAAAGCCACTATTATGCCGGGGCATTTCAGGCAGACTAATCCGAGCACATAATAACTGCTGAAGTCTAGGCAAGAAAAAGAGTGGTTAACATTTTAATAAATATTAATTTTATCCTAATACTAACTGCGACAAGTCAAAGCTTGAACCGTTATTCGATCGCAAACCAAAGGTTTTGCTAGACTGAAAGCACTCTGGCTCTGTTCAGGAGTGTCTTTTGAGCTAATGATCACTGATTCCATTCTTTTATAAGTTTGCCATCTGTCTGTACCATAAGGTTTGCATGTTTGTCTTGATGAATGACAGAGACATTATTTGCATTGAGAGTCATAGTAGTATACTAGTGTTTCTGAATTCTGGTGTCTAAGCTCAGTGTCCTCTCTTTTATGTCTTGTTTATCACAACCTGCACAGTTTCCTGCTAATTGATTGTGAGTGTCCAAGTCTGGTACTGTCACAAATAGTTTTTGACATGATTACTAAGTTAGTATCATTTCTTATTAGTGAAAGCATCTGTGGTTTTGCCTGTTGGAATGATAAGACCCCTGGCTGAGTTGTTTTCCTTGGGAGTGGCTAGGATTTTCTGTGCCCTTTATCTGTATTCTTTGATAAATTGTAATAGAAATTGTGTTGGAAAGGAGATTACTGATGGTGACACTTTCCTCTTAAAAATTGGGGCTCCAAACTCTTTAAGCTCTTAAAAAAAAAAAAAAAGATCCCGATCAAGACTCATCGTTTTGTCTTTCTTACATGATGGGAGAAGAAGTGCATACAATCATTTTTACTATGGGTTTATGGTAAACCTTAATTTTCAGTTATTGATTTCTTTTAAGAAGTAAAATATCATGGCTAGAAATAGTAATGCATTGTCTCTATATACTCTTAACACTGAACTGTATAGAAGGTTCGTGAGGATTTTAAGGTTGAATCTTCTGGGTGTAATAATGAGATATTGCCCACATAATATAGCCAGGTGATGCTAATAGGATGATGTCAAAGAGGTTCTACATAGAAGTTTCAAGTATGGCACTTACGGTTGAACTTGTTATGCTGAACCTCTGTGACAAATGTTAAGAGAGAAGTTCTGTAGTTGAAATCTTAATTCCTCTAGAGTGAGTCTGTGAGCTGGTGTGTGGGAATGTTTGTAAACAGTGATGTAACATCATGGATAACAAGTTTCTTGTTTCTTATGTTAATTTTTCTAGCCTCATTGTAGTCACTAGGATGCTGAAAGTGAGTAATAGTGACGGTGTCTACACACCTTATGGTTTAGAAAGATGACAAATTTATTATTAAAGAAGGGAACGATTCTGATGTATCAAAATGCACTACTGAACAGAACCAGGGTGTTTTCAATCTAACAGAACCTTTGGAATGCACTAGTTTACATGAGAAACATCTGGCTCTAAATTTAATAGCAGTTTAAACTTGAATAATAGACTAGTAGGGTGATTATTATAAAAAGGTAAAATAGGTAATTATGTGATATATGGTTCTTTATTGATCTTATCTCTGAGTGAGTATACAATATGTGTAAAAAGTAGCCTTCACATGACTTGATAAAGCTCACCTCTTAGAGATATGCAGTCCCAACATAAGTTTGTTCTGCATATTGTGTCTATATCCCTACCTGTTGGAATTATGCCTCTACAGTCACATTATTGGAACATTACATATACATGTATTAGTGTTTGCTTTTGCATGTCCAGGAGCCAGTACATACACAAATAACCCGCACATAAAAGACAGAAGCTTACGACGACGTTTCGGTCCGACTTGGACCATTGACAAAGTCACACTATCGTTCCAGTCACGGTATTGTGCCTTTTTGTTATTTATTGCCAGTACATATATAAGATATAAAAAACGAATATAAAGTATGTACTAAAATGAGCAGTTTTATGTGAAACAAACTTTCTTGCCTTCTTGCAAAGAATTAATAATTTCTTTTATTAGTTTACTTAATTATATAAGCTTCTAATATGGACCTTAACTTAAAATATATAAAATTACTGTATTAATTGCTTATAAAATAAACTTTTTTTTTTTTAACACGTCGGCCATTTTCAACCGACGCAGGGTGACAAAAAAAAAAAGAAAAGAAAGAAAACCCCAAAAAAGAAAGAAAAAACTTTCATCATTCAACAATTTCACCATCACTCATACATAATCACTGTCTTTGCAGAGGCACTCAGATACGACAGTTTAGATGTCCCTCCAAACTGCCAATATTCCAAACCCCTCTTTTAAAGTGCACGCATTGTACGTCCCATTTCCAGGACTCTGAGTCCAGCTAACTGGTTTCTCTGAATTCCTTCACAAAATATTACCCTGCTCATACTCCACCAAAATTGCTAATATTTCTTATAACTGTATGATCGAGACCCATATCAGGGGATACTCTGCTGTTTCCTGCCGAAAAACCATCACCTAGACACATTATAATTAGGTCTTGTAATAGGAAGCAGTGGGACAATGACCTGAAGATTTTCATAATTGATCCATCACTGGTCAGTTTTTTTATTCTTTGTTGTGGCTCTTATCTCTTAGATTATTATTATAATGATAATCAAAAAAAGAAGCTCTAAACCCACTAGGGGAATACAGCGTCTTATCTGTTAGAGCTTAACACACAATACAATTGATGATTAACCTAAACTATATTATTGTTATGTTCGTAAAAAATGTGCAAAACCCGTTCTTTTCATACAGCAACCTATACAAGTCCATAATTTTAGAGTTAACACCTCTCTAACTATTATTGTAGAAAATATGTTAATGATGGTAAGTCAAGGCGTAGATGATATTTCTTTGTAGTTTTCAAGATTTTTTTTAATATATAGTTATGATGCCCATGCACTTTTGGCAAAACAGCCAATGAATAAACAAGGTGAATGTATTTAATTTTTTGAATAACCATGCTCATCAAGACAAACGATTTCTAATGCATCTGCATTAGAAATCGTACGTCTTTTAAACATGCTCCAGGAGGAGCTCTTCATCTTTCTGATGGCATTTGTTATTGTTCAGATATGAAGTGCAGTAGTTCCAAAACAAGATTGAAATTCGTGACTTATTTTAGAGATGTGACTCGAACCATTTTTTAATTTAGTTT